TTGAGTGCTACCCCCACTCTGGGGAGGATAGTTTGCATATGTAAGGGAGAGAAAGAGGCTGCTTGCTGCCACTCCTCCCTTTTGCTCTTGCTGCTTTTGCTGTCTTCCACCGCCATGAACTGTTGCCCTCTACCATGTGCCAACCTGCCTTGGAGCCAGCGAGTATGGACTGAAACCTCCACAGACTGTGAGCTAAATACACCTTTCCTTCCCTAATTTTGGGTGTTGGGTATTTTGTTCCAGCAATGAGAGAAAAGCAACCAAGACAGCCCTACTTAACCCTTAGGCCATGGAGCATACCATCCACATTACTCACTTTCCCTTCCCTGCTGGCATGTCAGCTTCACAGCAGAGCTTGCTTTCTTTTATTTATCTTTTTTCACTGCTATAGTGAGTATCTAGGACAGTGCTGGGTTTAATAACTGTGGAATGAATGGGTGGATTTCCTCGAAGTCTCCGGAATCCCAAGGAACGGACAGCAATGGGTACACTCAGTTCCTGACTTCTGTCCTTTAGAAATTCAGAGGTTCCCCTCTTTTAAATTAATAAATACCAAAAATTATTGACTTAAAATCAAGAGTTTCTTTTCAGCAAAAACTCCTTTAAATGGGAATAAAAAGTAAAAAAAGATATTATAAGAGACATAGCCCAAAAGGATTAATATTATTAATCCTATTATTTGATCTGTTATACAAATATATCCAACTAGATCATAGCTTTTAAAATGGCTTGGCTGGGGATACAGCTCAGCGGCACAGTGCCTGCCTGGCAAGTGCAAGGTCATGAGTTTGATTTCCGGTACCAAAAAAAAAAAAAAAAAAAAGGCTTAATGATATAAAAATTACTTGCAACTTGCTTATCTATGTAAAAATACACCAGAGACAGCTTTCTGCTATATTTGCATAATCAATACATGTGGACCTAATTCACTCCATTTATTCGACCTTCCATTATGGGTAAGCATTCAGATTATTCTGTTTCAGTCATGTACAAGCAACTTGATGTAGTGAAGCATTGAAAATTGCTTGTTACTGGGATGCATTGTTTGGGTTTGAATCTTAGCTTCCCCCTCGCTAGCCATGTGCCTTACTAAGATGCTCGACTAAAGTTTCAGTTCTTCGTACGACACAGGAGAACAGTGATGATTCTTGCCTTAGGGGCTTGTTGTAAAGGAAATGCAATTATGCCTGTTCCTCTTCCATGTGCCTGCCTACACCATGAAAGTGTGTAAATGTCAGCCGTCTATCCTACGAAACACATATTTGTTCCTGTTTCTCTAGGTGTAATTTCTAGGAGTAAGATGACCTAGCCAAAAAGATAGGAGTATTTTTCATTTTAATTAATATATATATATATATTTTTTGGTTTTCTTCCAGTACCAGGAATTGAACTCACGACGTTGCGTTTGCCAGGCAGGCGCTTTGCCACTGAGCTAAATCCCCAGCCCCCATTTTAATTAATATTATTGAGTTATTTGTCACCAAAATTGTAGCAATGCTTATTCCTACAAGGAGTAGGTATAGGATTGTGTGATATTTTGCCATGCCTTTCCCAAAACTGGTTGGTACTTGTCTTTATTGTTTGCCAATTTGATTTTAAAAAGTAATCAAAACTTTATGAGTTAATGTTTGTCCTGATTATTCCATCCTGTTGATATATTTGAATATCCTGTACAATTTCAAGTTTAATATCTTGAACCGGGAGATATCCTAGAGCAGAAGCTGACGGCCAAGGGATCACACCCACGGTAACAAGAGAGTAAAAGCAAACCCTCAGCTCAGCCACCAGTACCAAATCCACACTACTGTAATGATCAGAAAAAAGCACAGGGATGCTGGCAGCCACCCGAAGCTGGAAAAGACCAGAAACATTTTTCTCCCGAGCCTTGTGTGGGAGGGTAGCTCTGCAGACACTTTGGGTTTGGACCTCTAGGCTCCAGCACTGTGAGAGAGTACATTTCTGTTGTTTGAGGCTTTTCAGGTCAGGGACTCTTTGTTACAGCAGCCACAGGAAATGATATAACCCCCCATTCCAATTCATGATTTAAAGTGGTTTCTCTCCAGCCTGCCATGAGCGCCTCACCACATGGGCTGGGCCCCCTTGTGTGTGAGGAGGGCCCTGTCCCCTTGCTCAGTCTCCTGCTCTGGTGCGCATCCCATAGCACAGACACGCAGAGGAAGAGCCCTGGGCCCAGGACCAGACAGTGGGGCCTCCTCTCTGTGGCTTTCCTGTCGAGCTGCAGTGAGGGGCAGGTGAGAGCACTTCTCTGCACGTTGTTGGTCAAGTGAGGACTTTTACTCCGTAATGATTACGCCCCAAATGATAAATGACTTCTGAAGGGCAGTTCATGGAGGTGGAGGGGAAGCCACTAGGTGGTGCCGTCTTCCCCCAGCCGGTGGGAGCCTGGTGGCCTGGCCCTGAGAGGAAACTGTCCTGCCAGGATGACTGAGCTGAGGATGCGACCGGGTCCTCTCAGCCAAGCAAGGTGGACCAGGACATAAACTCTTGGGTTGGAAAAGTCTGACTGTAATAAACCCCATTGTACTGAGGGCCCTTTATAGCTCGGAAGGTTTTCATCACACACATGAGCTAACCCTAATTCCCTCTTAAAGGTCCCATTGCTCTGAATGGTGGCATTAGGACCAAGTTTCCAACTTTGGAGACACACACAAACCATAGCAGTACAGCCAGGAACTTTGAGAAAATTCTCTTGTGCTGGCATGACCAGAATAAAAGGCTGAGTGGAGTCCATTAAATGTTTAGTGTCTCTGAAACCTGGGTAGTAAAGTTTGTGCAGGTGGAGAAGATAAAAATCTTAAGAGGAGAAAGTGCTGAGTCTGCAACTGGAGTTCAAGTCCTGAGCAATCACAGGCGAGAACAGGAGGATTCAGAGTTCCTGACCACAAACTCTGATCATCAGGCGGGTGAACAAGGGTGAGAGATGGGTTTCACACCTCCTGTGATAAAACCTGATAAAACAGCAAGAACAGCCAGCACAGGTACTTTTTAGAAAGAATACAATGACACCCTGGGAGGCTGAGGCAGGACGATCAAAAGGTCAAGCTAAGCATGAGCAACTTAGTGACTTAGTAAGACCCTGTCTCACAGTAGAAAAGTGGCTGGGGATATAGCCCAGTGTAAAGGCTCTAGATTCCATCTCCAGGACTAAAGATAGGAAAAAAGGGGAAAAAAAGGAAAGGAAAAGAGGAAAGAATGCAAGTGCCACACGGGGAATTGAAAAGGTCCTCCTTTGTCCTTTGATGATCTTGCCACGGACCACCTTTCCCCTTCCCATCAAACAGGGGCCACTGGAATCCCAGCCCCCCAACAAAGGAACTCGATACTGAGGGCATTTATCTGAGGATGGCAGGACAGAAGGGAAAGTCCCATTTCTTCTTCATTTTGTGGAGCTCACGTGTTTAAACCAGAAACCTGTCTTCCGTGCCTGTCAGCGCTATGCTCCAGAGCTTTCGGACTTTTCTGGGCACAGGCCTCCTCAAGGCCTTGTTTTCTTGTTTAGTTCGCTTCCATGTGACAGCTGTCAGCTGCTGAGAGAAACAGTCAGGCGGCCGTGAAGTCTGGAGCCAGGTGTGAACCACCTGCCCAACAGGATCGAGGGCAAGGGGCAAAGATCAAAGGCCACAGTGGCCCTGGCTCCCCTGCAGCAGGTTTCGGTGTGGGGAGGCCACACAGGGTGTGTGGGGAGTGGGGCAGGCTTGTTAAAAACAAAAGAAAGCACATCAACAGATGCCCACTGCTTTTGTGAAGAGGAGGTGGACAGAAGGCCAAGGCCCCGCTCCCAGACAGGGCAGGGCTGCGCTAAGACCCTTCAGGATATCACGTTTCCAAGTGGGCTGAGTCTGCCCAACGGCTGTGGGATTAGCAGGGCAGCCCTCTGGCTCCTGGTGAGCTCACTGGAAGAAGCCGTCCTACCTGACAAAGGCGACCTCAACTCTTCTGCTCAGACTAGCGCGCGCCACAGGTCCCGTGCAACCATTTCATGGTCTAACAAAAAACAAAACACCCCCCCCACCCAAGTAACCCAAAGATCCACACAGCGCACTCCACGGAGGGAAACTCGAAGAGTAAGAACAAACACACAGCCAGAACCACGCCTTTTCCTGAGTCTGCACTGTCAGCTTCTGGATATACCTTTTACCTTTTCTTTCTTTCTAATGAATGTAATAAAAATCCAGACATCGTCAGCCATCTTAGGTATTTTAAGGTATTAACCCTCGGGCACAAAGTCCTATTTATATACTGTTGAAATGGCTCAAAAATTACTGCAGCAAGTTCTATTTTTGGAGGATTACCCTTGAGCACCCATCCTGTGCTGCTGTACGCCTTTCCCTCCCTCCCTCCAAACATGCCTTGGGCCTTTATTTCTGTGGGTCTAACAGCTGGTCCCGTCCCTCTCCGTCTCTGCCTTCTATTTTCATGTATGGCTCAGGCCCACCTCCCTCCTCCACAGAAACCTGTTTCTATGTTTCCAAAACAGCGGGAAGAGGCATAGCTTCTAATCGGATCTTTTCTATCAGTTGTTAGACATGAGGTTAATAGGCCTTTGGAAATAAACCAAAGGCTCTCAGGTTAGGCTTAAGTGCAAGATGACATAAGTTTGGGCTGGGAACATAGCCCAGCGGCACAAGCGCCTGCCTGGCAAGAGCGAGGTAGTGAGTTTGATTCCTGGTACAAAAAAAAAAAAAACAATGACATAAGGTCAGCACTTGCTGTGACCACATTTAACAGTGTCAACTGAGAATAAAATAAACCTAGTTTAGAAGGAAAATGACATTTATTTGGGGCTAACTAGGACTGCAATCCAGGGAAACACAGATTAAAGAAGTCTGGAAAACATGCTTTGAGATTTTACAAAATGGCACCTATAGAGTTCATACTCATTTTATTGAGTTCTGACTCAAATTTAACTAATCATTCTCACAAGAAGATTCAAAGGACAGAAATCCGCTGAAATCACAAGGAAGCACCGATCCACGGGCCACTGAGTGAACCTTAACTTTATTGATCCTCCTCACCTCTGAGCAAGTGTGCAACACGAGGCTGCCAGTGGGAAGTGATAATTATGCATACTTCAAAGGAAAAACATCGGTGAAACAGAACACATACAGCTGCTCCCTTAGTTTTAATTTGTAATTGCAAAATATAATTTCAGCAACTGAATGAAGTTTTAGGCCACTCACATTACTCATTACTGAAAGGAAAACTCAACATCACAGAAACAATGAAATAAATAAATAATTTACTAAAGGTAGTTTTGCTGCATTGCACATGACCGCACAGAATTCTAAAGCTCATGATTTTTTTTAAAGCTTGGAGAACACATTTGCCTTTCTAAATTTCTTGCTAAGCGATACATGCTCCTTGTAAGGAAAGCTACCTCGGGTCGGCCTGAGTGTAAAATGTAAGCATGTGCTCATTAGGCGTGCGTCACACTAGAGCACACGGCTGGGGATAACGGGTGGGCAGAGCCCTGCAACACTGGCCTCGAGTCACAAGCAGCATCTGTCACCTGCCCACTGAGCTGTAAAGTACTGCCCACGCAAGCAGCTCAGGGGAAATGTGCAGAGGTCATGGGTGCAAACCCACACTTGTCTTTTACGTGATGTCCCTACATGGACTGTAAAATACTTTGAGAACATCCCTGGAGCTTTAAAACGGAGCAGCACAGGACACGGCTATGGAACATACGCGTTTCTTGCTACCAAGAGTTAAACAGAATGTTTCTCTGGCAAGCCTTTTACCAAGCTCCCAACCCAGCTTCTTCTGTTTTGTGTGAGTAAACAGAACTGCCTCCTTGGCCAGCCTTGAAGTGACTTGACTCTTCTCCTCTGCCCTCTCACCCCACCCCCACATCCCTTAAGAGAAAGCAGCTGCCGGTCTTCTCCACGGAGTTCACGGTGCTGCGGCAAACTACGCAAGTCCTTCCCGGAATACGACCTGCTGTGGCTGCAGACAACTCTGCATAAACGACGAGCTCCCCGAATAGCGTATTTTAAACAAACTGGGGAAGGTAGGTTTCCAGGTTTGGTAGGAAGCTCCTCCTGAAACTAATCTAGAAGATAAGTGAAATTCTGGTGTGTAAATACTCTAAGACTGAAGCTGGGTCCCTTCTCTTGCCCCTGCATGGGAACCAGGTTCCTGCATTCAGAGGACGCTGCTGCCTGTTTCCTCTCTTGGGTCAGACTGTTCTCCCAGAGCCAGGGCCAGTGCTATAGTGTGGATTTAGACCGCTTCCCGAAGGCCCATGTTAAAGCCTTAGTCCCCAGCTTAGTGCTACTGGGAGAGAGTAGACCCTTTAAGGGATGGAGTCTAGTGGGAGGTCTTCAGTCCCTGGTGCTTGCCCTTGAACTGACTGTGGGGCTGTAGCCCCTCTTTTTTCTTTTGCACCAGGCATGAAGTGATTGGTCTGCTCAGGCATGATTGCTGCCTTGTTATAGGCCCAAAACAATGGCATCAAATGACCATAGCCCAGAACCTCTGAAACTGTGAGCTGAACAGCCCTTTCTAAGTTGCCTGTCTCAGGCTTTTGTTACAGTAGCGGAAAGCTGACTCATACAGTCAGCAAGCTTCTCATGAAAGGCCACTTAGTAAGTAGTTTAGGCTCACAGGTCACACCTAGGCTTTGCTGCATATTCTTCAACTTGTATTTCTTTCAAACAGTCCTTTAAAAATTGAAAAATGTTCTTATCTCAAGGGCCTTTAGATATCCACCAGCTTGCCAAGCCCTGCTTCAAGTTGTCAGAGGAACATGCTGCTTACCAAGTACAGTGAGTTTGGGCCTTGGAATCTTAGCTTGGGGGTTTCTCCTGGAGACTGAGGTGGGTCCTTAAGGCAGGCTGCAAGCAGGGATCCTCTGTTTGTTTCCACTTTGTCTCTGAAACTGCTGGACTAATATTTTTCTAAATTAAATAGGTCTTGTGAATCCGAATTCTTTCTTTCATCAATGATATTTAATAGGCAGATAATGTGTCTCAAAACACATACCCGCTACCAACTACATAAATTTACCTGTCTTGGAGTTAGGAAATATATGCATATGTGTGTGCACACACATGCACACACTCTAAAAAAAAGAACTTCCAGAAACTGAATGAGAATTCTATAAATTTCCAAGCTAAGTAGATAAAAAAATCTTACATATGTCAATGCAGCTGTCCTTTTTTAGATTTTTGCTTAAAATGTTAAATTTGTTTTTGTTCAAAGGTGAGTTGTTTTTTGTATTAAAGTCAAACTCTCTCCTGGCACTGCCAATGACAGCTGCGGGAACGGCACGGATAATCAGAACTGGTCAAGCAATGGGGCGGGGGGTTCCCAAATGACACTGTGGAGATGATTTTTAACTGAGGGGACTGGGGACACAGATCTGAAGCTGGAGGAAAATGGAGCAGTTAGGCAGCAAAAGAGCACTCCTAAGACACACTGGAAGGGACACAGACCCTAGTTCTCACACAGCTGAAGCCAGTGAAACTTTATAAATCTTCCAGTTTTTAAAAAAAATGAAGTGTTCTAAGGCTGCAGGAAAAAATGGGATAAAGAAAGTAAGTACACGTGGCCGGGAAATGGTAACAGCGCCAGGGCATTTGCTATCACAAAGCGTATGTCCTCAGGAGCCAGTCCTGCAGCCCCTCATCCTGGGCCTTGGCATCTTTCACACACACACCAAGCTCCTGTCAGCAGGTGACATTGCCACGTTCCTTCCCTATGAACTTGAAAACTGCCTGGTACCTATTTTGATCTATTTCAGATATGAATGATTTGTCATTTTTAAATCTGCAAAGAGCACACTGGGCGACAGACCTGAACAATCCGTCGGAACTCAACATGGCCCTCTTCAGGTGGAGCTTTGAGGACAGACGGACAGAGGGTCCTCACTGCTTCTGGCTCCGTGGGGTCCCACTCTTCAGTCCCGTCGCCACCCACACGAAGCATGTTTTCCATTCCCGCCAACATCAACGTGCATCTGCTGACAACACGCTTAAAGAAGACCCAGAATCTTACTAATTTTGGTGGATACCCCAATCATCTGGATATGCAGCAAAACATGTGAGCTCCTCTTTTCTCTACTCCTCAGTTTAAAGCTGTATAAAACATGGCTAAATGCAATACTTCTAAACAGCAGGGCTTACCAAGAAAGGATTTCATTTTAAAGAACAGAAAGGGGAAAGGAAAAACAAAACCACCAAGAATACAGAGGAGAAACCCTGAGGCAAAAATGGCTTTTCCCGTAGACAGTCTTCTGGGAGCAGCGCCTGCTCACAAGGCGCCAGCACCCTTCTGCGAGGGCAGGCCTTCCTCCATCCAGAGCACAGCCGCAGAACCGCCCCGCAGCGTGCGCTGGTGGATGCGCCGCAGCCGCAGCAGGTAGAGGAGGATGGAGAGCACGACCACCAGGAAGCAGCCGGAGAACAGGTAGTGGTTGTAGACAAAGGAGACACCCCGCCAGCTGGAGTGACTGGCCCGGAACACCTCCTGCTGGATGTCTCTGCCACACGGGGACAAAAGCAACAGCATGGGTAAGAAGGTGGTGGGCATGAACTGCTCAGGATGAGGGAGCAGGGCCTGGCATGGGCCCAGCTCTGCAGAAGGACTGACAGCCTGGTCAGTCTGGTTGCTGACTCTGCTACTTCTGAACTGGGGGAGGATATGCCAAAGCTAGGGCACTCTTAGATACGAATGAGATTCCATGGGAAAGCTTGTTCCTAAGTTCCTAGCAGTTACTGGCATTACAATTTGGGTCACAATAATCTGAGAAGGGAAGAATCACAATGTCGAACATGCTTGTGATACCCACTGCACGCAATTTTTATAGGTCCAACTAAACCTACTGCTTGAAGATGCTCAATTAAGTGGGGAGAATAGCTAACACTTCACTTATCAGTTAACCAGGGCTCTTAACATAGGGTCAACTAAGCTGGGTCTATAAGCTTGAATGGGGTAAAATACACATCTTTATTTTACCAACCCCAGACCAAAATTTAGTATTTCTTTTGATCAAGAGTATAGACAACAAACTACTGTAGTATTAGCAGGGCCGTGACTTTCTTACTAATGAGAACACACACTTTTTATGTTTCATAAATGTCAAGAACGCCCAAGTCAACCCTCTCTCAAGGGTCAGGGTACAGACAGCAGACAATAACCAAAGTGGGGGCAGCAACCCAGACCTGCTGCATGTGGTGGGATGGACAGGAAGGGACAAAGGGAAATACTTGTGGGGTAAGGAGACTTCATAGTCTGTCCACAGGCAGCCAGGACAGCAACCACCCACACATTCACACAGCAGTTTCCATGGGACACTGAATTTCAGCAAAGCCTCTGGTGTTCTCCTTACCACATCAGTAGCCTACCTCAAGGGCAAAAAGCGGGTCCGATAGAGGATGGCCCCCAGGGTCCACTGCACTTCCTTGTCATACACCTGCAAGGCAGTCTTGAGGTTTCTGTAGTTGACAGGAAATGAGAAGCCCCTGTGGAACACCTCAAACATCCAGGCAGATTTGAAGCACTGATACCTGCAAATACCAAGTGCAGCAGGAATCAGACTGACGCCCGTGTCAGAGCGGCACCAGCAGGCTGCGCAGGCTCCCGCAGGCCGCCCCAGGCAGCCGAGCCAGATGCATGCTCCTCAAGCTGACTCACCCGGCCCATGCCTGGTGTCCCACAGCACACAGCAGCTCACCCCTCACGTCAAACAGCTTGGGAAACTTGGTCTCGGTATACCATGACAGACTTCCTTTCCACCTTTAGATATTCCATCATTTATTTACTGAACACTAGGCAAGTTCCAACCTCTCTGGATATTAATTACAAAATGAGAAGCAGGAAGGTCCTTTTCAGATCTGGTATTCTATGGTCCAAATGTTTATTAAGAGGCTTATTTTTTGCAAAGCACTGTGCTAAGTAAAATGGTCACTACACTTAGGTGACTAGTAATGAAAGGGAATTAAAAAAAAGAATAAATAGCTGTAAAGCAAAGCAGAAGAGGATGAAGTAACTGAGGGGTATGCCGAGTGTTCTGGACTCTCGGTTAGGAATGGAATCTGGCTGAACGACCCAGGGCGACTGGAAAGAGCAAAGGTCTCTTAAGTCAGGTGTCTGGGAAAGACCTGAGCAAGCAAAAGTATGAATGGGAAAGCTGTACGGCAAAATTGAGCCAAAATTACAGGCTATGTCTGGGAACTAGCATCTGCCCCATCCAAAAGAGCTGAGGGCGGACGAGGGGGATGAGAAGGCAGACTGTAGGCAGAACTGATGGTGTATGAAAAGCATCCTGGGGTTTGGTTGTCCACTACTCACTTAAGCCGATGGAGATCAGCATGCGACGCATACAGTCCTCGGTCAAAGCGATCGCGCAAGATCGACCACTTCGTTGCACAATAATCCTGAAAGGAAATTCACCCAAAATAAAACATAAATAAATGCTTTCTAACGTTTCTTTTAGTCCGAGGTTTTGGGGGGCTGAAACGGGTGATGCCATTAAGCAGGGGGGCACAACAGGGACAGAGTGGGAAGCAAACGATGCGCTTGGAGCAGTGAACTTTGGCAGACCCCTAGAGCAGGTGAGGGTCAGAGGCTCTTCTGGAGAGGGGGCAGCAAACCGGGCAGGCGTGAGGCCACCCAAGAACTTGGAGGCCTGCGGGCCATGGGTTAAGACGTGGGGCCACCAAGGTGAAAGGGGTGTGGGACAGGGAAACCTTTGAAAGAACCCAAGGAAACACTGCCAGAAGGCAGGGAGGACAGAGGACAGGGACGGAGAATAGGGGCGGGAGCTCAGTCGGGGTGAGGGGGTCAGAAGACCCCCAAGAGCGTAGACCAGAGCCCTGGGGCAAAGCTACAGAAGGCTAGGGCTGTAATTGAACCTGGAGATTTCTGAGTCGTGGGCAGAGGCTGGCTTATCTCATGGTGGATTTTTTTAGTTTTCCTGTGACTACTTCCCTCCCGGCAGCCAAAGGCACAGGATTCCTCCATGGTGCACTACAACCTTCCATGTTCCATGTTTTCTTTCCTCTGAGAGTAAAGGGTGGCTGTGAGCGGCCCCGGTCCCCCAGGTCTCTCAGAAGCATGTGGGGGCAGATGGCTTCTTGGAAGGTTACCTTTGCAGCTTTAGTGAATTTAGCAGCATTGTAGTCTCCCCCCATGCGTAATACATCCTCGGTGCAATAGTAGAATTCAGAAAAGCCATAGAATTCGCTGTTCTGGAAGTGAATTGGGGGCTGGTAGACCCCGTTGAGGGAAGTCTGCGTCTCATTGGTTTTGTTCATCAACGGCTGGAGGGTCTCTCGGCAGAGGTCGAAGTCTCCAGTGCCCCGCAGGTACACGGTCTGCCCGTTTTGCTGGATCTCATCTTTAATGTCAAGGGGCAGGCAGGGGTCTAGGTAAGGAGCATCAGCAGTCAGACCAGTCTGCTTGCCCAGCAGCCTACGGCACAAAGAGCACATTCATCAGGAGACACACGTCTTGTTGTGTGTTGGGGAGGCGGCCGCAAGGCAGTGTTTCTGCAAACTCGCTCTGTGGAACCCAGGTGTCTGTGGGAACACGAAAGAGGGCCAGGACAATTCAGTCAGGAAAACTGGCCCCCCAGCCCCTCTTGGAGACTCCGATACACATTCACCTGCAGGCAGAGGAACCAGGTCCACAGAAACAACCTGTCTGACTACCTGATGCTCCTGACTCCAGTTAAAACCACTGACAGTCCGTCTTTCCTTGCCACTCAACTAACAAATCATGTGCTCTTCCAATCAAGCCCCTGGTATGTGGATATAACCAATAAAGATCTACGCTACAAAATGTTTACTTACTTTCAAAATCAACCACCACTATAAATGATACAGATACATGTTAATTTATGACATATGAAACGCAAGTAACTATTATAAAAGTCAAGAATAGTCCAACAAATACCTCATGCCACTGTTAGTTGTCCTACCTCTTAATTAAGAAGAGCCACTGAACTGTCTGCTACATAGAGATTTTTAAAAAATGGTAATAAAACCAATTAGTAAAAATAAAAGTTTCGGAAGGTCTTCAGTAAGTCTGCAAATATGATTCAAATATAGTTTATAAAATATTTCTATTTTTAAAATAATACAAAAATAATACAAAAATGTGCTAGATACTAATTATAAAATGGATTACTAATGTCACAGTTAACACCATTTAATTAACTTTTGGAGTACTCAGAGGATGAGTTTTTATTGCTTTTTCCTACTTATATACACAAATTTCTAGCAAATGTAGTACTAAATAGCTCTCACTTGGTCTTTAGTGAAGTTTAGGCGCTAACAAATTTATTAAATTGGTCAGTAAGGATGTTATTGGTTAGCTCTAGCTGGGATTTTTCCCTCTCAAAAGTGTTTCATCAAAACAAATAAATAAGACATAACAATTAATAAGAGATCTTACATGATTCCAGGTTTAGATTCTTTAATTCATTCAAACAGCTTTTCTGTTCTTATGGACAAATTTCAAATAAATAATTGCTATAGACCTACAAAACTTACACTGATAGAGTGCTGCCCTTGTTTTATGTTTTGTATACCAGGAACTCACACACACTCATTTCTGAAGTTTCAGTGCTAACGTGTTTTAAAATCCTCCTCACTTCACGATCACTCCCTGCTCTTCAGTAACTCCCTTCACTCGGTTCCTGGCTACTGAATAGCTGCAGAGGCTGCGCATCCTGGAGCTTCGCCTCCCTCTGGCTTCTCAAGCCCAGAGCTCACACTTACTGCAGGCTCCAGACAGCAGCAGTGACCTGGTACTGAGACCTACGTGTAACATCACCCAGGGCTTACTGCTGTTCTGTCCCCTGATGGGGGATTCTCTATTCCAGCAGGTGAGGCACAGGTGTGAGAAAACAAGAGACGGTGAGGTTCCTTTGGAGCCTGATGGGACCGAGGGCTGACGGCAGGACCCAGGTGGCCTTCTGTTCTTTCCTCCGGCTCAGCTGGGGGCTGACTGCAAGCTCCCAGAGCCAATGTACTTGTGCTGACTGAATTCCCTTCTGGGCCTCGGTCTTGGAGGAGGACATTCTTTACTTACTATTTTGTGTATTGCCCGAGGCCTGACCAAGCCATCATTGTTGTGTTCTGGAGGAAGTCTAGCACAAGCATTGTAAACCTGGGGATCGATACTAGATGCTTTGCTGAGAAATAAGTGAAGGAAGGTAACATGATGGCTTACTGGTCAGGTCGCATCCCTCCGATAATTGAATTGTACTGTCCTTGCCAAAACAGTTGATATCCTCCAATTCCTCTGCTGCTTCCTTGGTGGATTTCTGAGTAAAAGGTTATTGAAGATGGTAATCAGGAGTCAGTCAGTCCTAGAGGCTGCTAGCACCTGATCACAGAATTTTGGTTCTCTTGGTTTTCTTTTTTCTTATACATCTGCAGGCACCTAGTTCAGGGGATCTGTTTACCCCGGACAGAGCTGGATGAGAAGTCTGACATGGGTGTGCAACAGACTGCTGTGTAGTGGGAGGCGCTTTACCTGTTCTTCTGAAACATGCTGGCGAACAGTCTGTCTTCGTACCTCTGTCGAGCAGCATTGCCACCAAACCCAAGAAACGTGGCGACATAGACCCGGTACACATGCTCAGTTTGGTGGACATCGCATCCCAAGTTAAATTCAGCTAACAAGTTTTTAGCTACTTCCTCCTGCAGGCATAGGATGAAAATTTTAATATTTTAAGACAACTTTACACCTGTTAAAGAGCTCAAAAAAAGTCACCCCAGAGTGGCAAAAATTTCTGCTTGTACATTTACCAAGGATCCTTCCAAGTATCCTTTGTTTTGTGTTTTGAGACAGGGTCTTACTATGTATTTCAGGCTGGCCTTGAACTCTATGTAGCCCAAGCTGGCCTTGAACTTGCTACAATCCCCCTGCCTCAGACTCCTGAGTGCCAGGGGATTACAGGACTATGCCACAATGCCTGGCTTAAATATT